TAACCTGGCGACTGTATTTCTCTTAAATATGAATTGTGTGAGCATACCATCATAAAATTTAAATGTTATTTTTACTACAACATAGGTATTGTGTCGGAAAAAGTGGAGTTTGGGGGTCCGGCCAGTCTCTATTGGAATTAATCCCATGTGTTCTGTTGTTCCATTTACGCGGATTTCACTTTCCGCGGTACACCTGTGGGTTCAATTGACCGCGTAAATCGGGGTACTACTGTACTGTAAAGTACAATGTTTATTAATACCTGTACCCTTCATCTGCTGTACAGTACAATGCTTATTAATACAGTCGGCCCTTAACATACGCGGGGGTTAGGTAACAGACACACCCATGAATGTTAAAAATCGGCGTATTTTTGCTGGCCCCCCAAAAAAAAAAACACCCTTGGCCCCCCATGTCCTTATTTACCGTATATACCTGCGTGTAGTTCGAGTTTTTAAGACCAAATTTTTTGGCAAAAAATTGGGGGTCGACCTCTAAACGGGTAATAGATTCGTTAGGTTGAAAAAGATTTACCAGTAACTACCAGTAAACAATGGAAACGACGCACCACCAGCTGTGAGTGTCGGTACAGTTGCCAGGGCAGATCTCTTGCGTCATCATAGCAAGCCCAAGTAGCCAAATGCATGGTATGGTAGCACAGGACGATGTAAAAAATAAAGTATTAATTTTTTAAAGTTTATTTATAGATTCATAAATTTTTGTTCATTACATTTGAAACATCAAACTTTGTTAATTAAATTTGAAACAAAAGAAAACTACGATACCATATTTCTAAATACCTGGTATTTTCATTAAAATATTACATCACAAGTATATTTTACCTTAACTGTGACTGGATGAATATATTCTCAGAAATAAATATTGAAATGTAATATTTTTGCTGAAATGACGTATGTATTACAGTGGAAATTGGGATAAAATCATGACGAAAACAATGACTTTCACTTTCTTTCGTTGTTCAAAAGATTTTACCGTAATCGCTTTTCGAATGGTTTTCAGTTAAAAAACTGTTGTATTACAATAATATTCTATCCTAATTCGAAAAGCGATTACGGTAACATCTTTTGAACGAAAGAAAGCGAAAGTCATTGCTTTTGTCACTTTCCACTGTAATACGTACGTCATTTCAGCAAAAATATTATATTTCCATATTCTCAGAAATAAATAGTAGTTTTGCTGAAACGTAATGTATTTCAATGTAAATTAGGATAAACTACATGAAAACAAAAGACTTTACCTAACCTTCTGATGTTCAAGATATGTTACTGGTTTTTTTATTAGTTTTCAGATAAAATACTGTTATATTAGTGATATTCTATTCATACTGTGCTTGATATAATACATTCACAGAAATGTAATATTTTTGCAACTACAATGCTGATGTCAACACAAGCGTGGTTACAGCGAGACTGACTGAGTGAGGGAGCGCGGGGTGGCGTGACGCGCTATGCGTGTGTGTGTGTGGGGTAGCGGGCGGTGTGCATTGTTTGGTGCCTCGCGCGATTTGAATGTACAGTACTTCAATTACTTCAATGTACAGAATACAGGTTGTACCTCTCTAGTCCGGCAACCTCGGGACCTGACCGGTGCCGGACCATGGAAATTGCCGTACCATGGAAATTCACCCTTTTCCTGGATAGATAGTGAATTGTGCTTATGCCTGGAAGTACTAGCACCACTTTCTCTGCGTCATGGTCTCTTTGAAGACATATTGAAGGGTTAAATGTCGTATAGTAGCTTCTCAAATTTAGCGAGTTTTTAATTCTTAACGTATTTTATTGAAACACACAAAAAAATAAATAAATAAAAATTTTGACAGCGGAAACTTGAATTTCGACGGGTTTGAACGGCCCGCCAACGTGCAGACGACGTGCATAATCGTGTAAACAGCGTCATTTCTCTTATGTACAAGAGATTCATTATTGTTTATTACTGAATGTCTTTTTTATCGAATTAATGTTTATGTGTGCAAAATGAGCAATAAAATTCATTAATAATACGTAGAATATTAAAACACGAGGAAATGACACAACATTGTTTTCGTTGATTACAAAACCAGTGACTGACTGGTTCTACATATAAAACTGAAGAAAATAAGACCTTGGTTGTAGCTGTAGTAAAATTAATATGGTTGTTTTAAGTAATGTTATTTAATGTTAATAAATGGAACAATAGAAGTAGCTAAGGATAATGGTAAAGGAAAAAGAGATCGCATATGTTAGTGCGCATGCGCACACGTGAAAACATATCGTCATTACTTTACATAACAATATGAAAGCAACACTTATTTACTGTTCATATATATTTTAATTAATGTTTCTGAATTTGTTTTTATTGAATTAATGTACGTGTGTGCAAAATTAACAATACAATTTATTAATAATACGTGGAATATTAGAGGAGACGAGACGGCTGCCGGCATTGTTTATGTTAAAGCTTACGAAACCAGTGACTGATTGGTTCTACATATAAAACTGAAGAAAATAAGACCCTGAGTTTAGCTGTAGTAAAATTAATGTAAAAAATGAATATGGTTGCTTGAAGTACCTGTAATGTTATTTAATGTTAATAAATGGAACAATATAAGTAGCTAACCATTAATGGTAAAAAAAAAAGTGAGACTGCTCGTATGTAAGTGCGCACATGTGAAAATTTATCGTCATTACTCTACATAAGAATATGAAAGCAACACTTATTTACTGCTCATATATATTGAAGGGTTAAATGTTGTACTCTGTATAGACAAGCAGAGAGAGAGAGCAGCCGAACTGCCGGATGTAAACAAACCTTAATTCCCGCTTTTTTTTGTAAGGGGATTAGCCCACCCGGGAATAGGTCACTGACCCACATTAGGGCCTGAGGGGCAAAAATTTAATACTCCTGTAATAATAATAATAATAATTCAGAGAAGTAAAAAGAAAAAAAAAAAGCTGCATATCTACCTATTGGACAAACTAAAATCGTTCCGGACCACTGGAGTTTCCGGACCACAGAATGCCGGACTAGAGAGGTACAACCTGTATTCCTCCGGCCGGGCAATCCGCTTATTTGCAAATCCGTGTATGCTAAACCCGTGTATGTTAAGGGCCCACTGTACCTGTACCCTTCATATACTGTACAGTACAATGCTTATTAATACCTGGACCCTTCATGTACTGTACAGTACAATGCTTATTTTTATCAGTACTGTAATGAATTAATAAAAAAGTGGGAACTTGGTAATGGAGAGGTTTGGGGGAAAAGATTACCTTCTAATTTGGCTGTCATTTACTTTTGATGTCTAATTACTAGTGAACCCTCGAAGATCTGGACTAAAAGGGGGGACCACCTGTCCGAAAACGTCGATTGTCCGAATCTTCCGGCGAATGTACTAAATGTATAAAGATGATAAATAATGATATAAAAAACACCGAAAATACATTACATATTATCCTCACCACTGGGGTTAGTTATACAGACTTTTTCCTGTGAAAAAGCCATAATTTTGAGCAACATATTACTGTACTCACTTGGTACTCAAATGTACTACAGTACACTAAAGGATTAAATTTTTTATTTCTTGTGCAAACTATATTATTTTATACTCAAATTATTTGCTATGTTACAAGGATTCCAGCAATGCAAGTTATATTCTGCTAAGTCTAGTCTGTGACATTTTATAAGATAAAAAACTTTAAGCCTAAAACTACCTTCACCCTGTCCTGGGAATGCTTCTTAGGGAGGCTTCTAAGCCCAGAACCCCCAAATTTTTGGTCCGAATCTTCCGAAATCCGGTTTTATAGGGTTCGAATCTTAGAGGGTCCAGTATACTGCATATATTGCATTTTTCCAATACAGTGTAACCCCGCTTTACTCGGTCAATTGAACCCACGGAGGCCCGCGTAAAGCGGGAAACGCGTAAAGTGAACAACGGAACATATGGGATTAATTGAAATAGAGACTGGGCCGACCCCCAACTCCAATTTTTCAGACACATTACCTATGTTGTAGTAAAAATAACTTCTTAATTTTATGATGGTATGCACACACAATTAATAATTAAGAGAAATATCAATAATATTAGGTTTTTTAACACTTACATTAGTAGAAAAGATGGCTGGGCACACGGGGATGGGGGGTTGGTTCTGAGGCAGAGGGCAGATTATTGGCCCTCACCTGTATCACTTGTATCAATTGTATCACTATCCACCACAGAGGCTTGCAGGGCCTCTTTGTGAAACCCCTCAAAGTCCATATAAGTCCATATCCTCACTATCACTAACTTGGGCCAGCTGTGGTGGGTGGCGGGTGAAGAACTTAGTAATGTTTTGATGACTGGGCGACCTTGTGCGCACCCTGCCCACGCCGCTTCCCGCGTATATGAGTAGATGCACCGCGTAAAGTGGGAATTCCGGTTCTGGCGGGGTACCGCGTAAATGTAGAAACGCGTAAAAAAAAACCCGTAAAGCGGGGTATTACTGTAGTATTTAATATTTTATATTATCAATGATAAAACATATACCATAAGAAGCTGATCACACAAGAATATATAATAATGAATACAGGGGTACAGGCAAATAAAAACGCTGGCAATGAGGCAACAATGCACTGCGTCTCAGTGGAGAGAGAGAGAGAGAGATAGAGATGTTTCACACACACACACACACACACACACACACACACACACACATTCCCTATCACCCAGAAGCATTCTGGGGATGTGGGCTAGTGTATGTCTGTGCAAGATGTGTAGTTTAGACACTCGAAAACTTTTCCCAGTAACTGGAAAAGGTTTTGGGGAGAAGGAATTCTTCCAGGTTTAAGAAAGTTGTCTGGTTTCCTGGAAATTTCTCTTACCCGGAAGTGCTCTGCGCCAATTGTTCCGGCTAACGAGGATATCACTGAAAATGGTTACTCTTGTTCCTTTGTTTATCATTCTTAATCATTAAATAGATAGATTAAACTGCTGATGTTGAAGTTATCAGAATTAATTCTCCTCCAGCTTGCACTTGAAATTATTCATCGCAGACCGGAAGCTTCACCAAAGAAGTATTATACAGAAAGAAGGAAACGTAGTGTGGTTCCAAAGCCGACTCCAGGTATAGTTTTAATGTTCTTTTCATTACTGAAGATGACTGAAGGTACTGTACTGTACAGTAATATCTGTCTCATATAGAAATTCTCTATTATTTTATCTTGACAAAATTACCCAATACAGTATAGACCATCTCTCCTTTTATGGATTTTGGCTATCTAGGTATTAAAGTTAGAGGAATATGATTATACAGTATATGGAAGTAGTTAAGTAGTGATAGGCTGCTTGTGTCAGTGAAATAGCAGCAATACCCTCAAAATTTATGAGAAAATTTTCATGTGCATATAGTATTTTATGATCTTACGGCTGTCTTGGATAATTCTTGTAATATTATCCCACCAAATCTATTTGGTTGAAATCCATGGGGCAGAGCAGTCAGGACAAGTTCATTGATTATTTACCAAATGTCTTACCACTGAAAAGATGTTGCCACTCAAAACCAAAGGCAATGTGTCATGACCTCACTTCAGTTGTGTATTCCTTGCCTGTCACTTATCATTAGTCATAAACTCTGATTCCAGGGTCAGTCCCAAGTGTCTTGCTGTTTAGTGTAGAAGATTGGGCTCTGTTACACTGTCTTCAATAAATGTATATACAGTGGTCTTGGGTCGATTGTATTATTTTCTTCAGGCATCCTTGATTTCTTTGTCATCAGCAACCACATTTCCTTGGTCTTTTCTCACACACTACTCACCAACAACATCCTTGTTTCTATCCAATATTTCCTTGCTATTCTGAATGCCTCTCCTTTTACATCTGCACTATTCAATGTGTCCTTTTCATGCTGCACTCAGCAGGACATTCTTTATTTTGGCTCAGTATCTTGCTACACTACCCCTCTCACTGTCACTGGGTGGTTCCAGTCTTATCATCTCAGCATAAAATGCTTCTCTTACATTCTGTTCATTCAACTTCTACACTCTCCTTATTGGAACACACACCTTCTTTTCTATGCACCTTTTAAACAATGTGTCACCCGCAAATAATCTGTGTTGTAAGACATTCTTCTCCTTCTATAATCTTTACTTTCCTAACAAGCTTTTTAACTGATTTCCTAATGAGAAAGTAATCAATCTATATTTTTGTTCCACCTGACTCATGCATAATCAGCCTATTCGCCCTCTTTTCAAACAGTGTGTTGCATACAACCATATTCATTGCATCCCCAAATTCAAGTATTCTTTCTCCTTCCATATTTCTTTTGCTGTGGCCTTTTCCACCATGCACACCTTCATAACTGTGTGTATGCCCCAACATGCACACCTTCATAACTCTGTGTATGCCCCAACATGATAGTTTAGGTCTCCACCTAGTTCTGAAATCTCTCTCTTACCCAACTCTGGCACAAAATGCATCAACTTATCCCAGAGCCCAGTGTAAGGAAGACAAAGAGGGACTACGAAATCAGGATAGCAAGAGAATGCAAGGCGAATCCCAAGGGATTTTTCCGGGTATATATGACAAAGGTCAAGGACAAAGTTGGGCCTTTAAAAGTCAGGGAGGGGGGAAGTGATCGGTGACAGTGAGGAAATAAGCAAAGCATTAAACAGCTACTTTTTATCAGTTTTCACAGAAGAAATTCACGAGGAAATTCCAGAGGTGGAACTGATATTTAGGGGAAATGAAGAAGATAAATTAAAGAATATCACTATCAAAAAAGTGGATGTTCTTAAGAAGATAAATAAATTAAAGAAGACAAAATCCCCAGGGCCGGATGAAATTTTCCTTCGAGTTTTGAAAGAGTTTAAAGAACAGATTAGTGGACCCCTCGTAAATTTATTTACAAAATCATTAGACATGGGAGTTGTGCCAGACTTGTGGAAACAGGCAAATGTAGTACCCATATTCAAAAAGGGAGAGCATCAGCGTCAAATTACCGGCCGATTAGTTTGACGTCATTAGTGGGGAAATTTCTTGAATCAATTACGTATAGCAAATAGCATCCGATCGCATTTAGAGAAAAGCAAATTACTCTACGACTCTCAACATGGGTTTACAAATGAAAAATCTTGTCTAACAAATCTGCTGATGTTTTTTTAGGAAAGTCTTCGAGGTAGTAGATAATGACGAAAATTACGATGTTATTTACTTAGACTTTAGCAAAGCGTTTGACAAAGTACCGCATTAGAGGCTTCTGAGAAAAGTTAAGGCTCATGGTATCGAGGGGAAAGTTTTAAATTGGATAAAATCATGGCTCACCGAAAGAACACAGAGGGTCAGCGTAGATAGTGTTAAATCTGAGTGGGGTTGTGTAACCAGTGGGGTTCCCCAGGGGTCAGTACTGGGCCCACTCTTGTTCATAATCTACATAAACGATCGATATACTGGGATCAGCAGTGACATAAGCAAGTTTTCGGATGACACCAAAATAGGGCGGCAAATTAATTCGGGGCAGGATGCAAATGCACTACGGGAGGATTTAAATAAACTGCAGGAGTGGTCAGAAAAATGCCAAATGAAATTCAACACCAGCAAGTGTAGCGTACTTAATATTGGAAGAACAAATTAATTCAATGTATACAACATCAACCTAGAGAAGTCGACTTGTGACAGAGACTTAGGGGTACTTGTAAGCCCGGACCTACGGCCTAGAAAACAGTGCGTTAATGTTCGAAATAAGGCAAACAGAGTACAGTATTACCCCGCTTAACGCGGTTTCGCATAATGCGATTTCGCATATACGCGGTGCTTCGCCAGAACCGAACTTTCACTTAATGCGGTTCATCTACTCATATATGCGGGAAGCGGCGCGGGCACGATGCGCACAAGGTCGCCCAGTCATCAAAACATTACCGAGTTCTTCACCCGCCACCCACCACAGCCGGCCCAAGTCAGTGATAGTGATAATTATAGTGAGGATATGGACTTATATGGACTTTGAGGGGTTTGACAAAGAGGCCCTGCAAGCCTCTGTGGTGGATAGTGATACAATTGATAAAAGTGATACAGGTGAGGGCCAATAATCTGCCCTCTGCCTTGGAACCAACCCCCCATCCCCGTGTGCCCAGCCATCTTTTCTACGAATGTAAGTGTTAAAAAACCTAATATTATTGATATTTCTCGTAATTATTAATTGTGTGTGCATACCATCATAAAGTTAAGATAATATTTTTACTACAACATAGTTGTGTGTCGTCAAAAAGTGGAGTTTGGGGGTCGGGCCAGTCTCTATTGGAATTTATCACATATGTTCTGTTGTTCACTTAACGCGGTTTTCACTTAACATGGTACCCTGTGGGTTCAATTGACCGCGTTAAGCGGGGTACAGTGACCCCTCGCTTAACGAGCACCTCGGTTAACGTAATTTCGATTAACGAACTGCCTTCCATAAGGATCTTCAATTCGGTTAACGAAAAAAATTCGGTTAACGAAGTTCTTACGAACCGACCTCAACATGTTTTCGCTTGCACTGACCGGGCAACCAGCTTTAGTATCAGTCCGCCAATACATTAATTGGTTCTAGGGCTTAAATTCCTTACTATTTTAGTAAATATCAAGAAGTTTATACTATTCAATAATTTTAAAAGTTTAATATTCAATTTTTTAGTCATTTTAACAATTATTGAACATAATTGAAGGTAAAGTGACTAGTTTAATGCGCGGCATCCAGCCTCTTAACACAGCAAACAGGAGTTAGTCTCTCTCTGTTTTCACTGGAGGTAACATCTTGCTTGAGACTCTCTTCAACTAAACGGTTTTTTTCTGTGTTTCCAAGCAAATTATTGGTCATTTTTAAATATATTTTACATATTGACAATACATAATGCAGTGCAGTGTTGATTTAAAGAAAATAATCTTGAATTACACCGAGAGCTAAAATTTTATGGGTGAAATGGCGCCATGGGGTGACTTCTCTTCCACCCCAATGCCTTCTCTTCTTCCTTCTCCTCCACCCCCATTCTAAATCCCATCATCATCATCATCATCATCCAGGAGCCTTCTACATACACACCTCAAAGTAAGTGAACTTTTCTACCATTTTTGTTGAAATTAGGAAATTTTCGGTGAGCTGGAACCAATTACCCAAAAACCCATTGAAACAATGGTTTCGGTTAACGAACTTTTCGGTTAACGAACGACCATCTGGAACGGATTGAGTTTGTTAATGGAGGGGTCACTGTACTACTGTATTAGGTTTTATGTCTAGAAGTATAAGTAATAAGAGTGCAGAGGTCTTATTGCAACTATATCTTGCACTAGTCAGGCCGCACCTTGATTATGTGGTTCAGTTCTGGTGCCCTTATTGTAGAATGGATATCATTTCACTGGAGTCGGTGCAGCGAAGAATGACGAAAATGATTCCGGGACTTGGAAACCTTCCATATCAAGATAGGTTAAAGAAACTAAACTTGCATTCCCTAGAAAGACGAAGCGTGCGCGGAGATATGATAGAAGTATTTAAGTGGGTGAAAGGAATCAATAAAGGCGATATAGATAAAGTTCTTATAATATCCGAGCAGGATAGGACTCGGAGCAACGGATTTAAGTTGGATAAGCTTATTGTAGGTTTAGGAGGGAGATAGGAAGGAAATGGTTCACAAATAGGGTGGTGGACGATTGGAACAAGCTTAGCAACTTTGTAGTTAGTGCTGGAATGCTGGAAAGTTTTAAAAGGAGACTAGATAGATTCATGGATGATAGAGAGTGGTAGTAACTCTCGACAGGAGCTGCCATGCACAGGCCAACCGGCCTATTGTAGACTCCTTATGTTCTTATGTTCTTATGTTCTTACCTTCTTCACTTAGCCCAACTTGTGGAGCATATGCAGAAATGACAGTCATCAGATCCTTTTCTACTAGCAGCCTCAGAACCATAATTCTCGTATTCACCCTTTTCACCTCGGGTACTTTTTCCACCCACGTTCTGGTGATCAAGATCCTTAAACCACCTGTTCCGTATTCACTTCCTTTCCAGAATAACTTGTATCTATCATTCTTACCAATGATCATTCTTGTTGAGCCACCTTTCCACCTCATTTCTTGCACATAGGAGACATCAGTGTCT